ATCCTCTGAAGGAATGGAAGACAGTTTCCAGTTTTGTGCATATGTTATTCTAGCCACAGTTATGATATGCAAAATTAAATATTGATATATTTTTTTCTCCATGTTTGAATCTATCATACTTAGCAGAAAGGTTTCAGGTTCAAGTTTTAAATTTTGTTTTGTTATATTTAAAATCCAATTTCTAATATTTCTCCAAAATTTCTGAGCACATGGGCAAATCCACCACATGTGAAAATATGTTCCTGGTGCGTAGTTACATTTCCAACAATTGGGTGGTAGGTTGGGGAACATCTTAGCCAGTCTCGCAGGAGGTAGGTGCCAGCGATGAACCATTTTATATAAGTTTTCTTTATACGAGACTGACATGGTTAATTTGTAATTTGTTTGCCAAATGTGTTCCCACTTATCTAATTCAATACTACGACCCATGTTTTTAGCCCAAATTATCATAGATTCTGTAACTGTTTCTTCTTTTAATTTGTAGTCCAAAATATATTTATATGTTTTACTAATTGTTTTCTTTTCCTCTCCTAGCCATATTTTATCTAATTCTTGTGGAATCATATTAAAGCCAAATTGTTCTCTATCTTTTTTATAATGGGTTTGTATTTGTGCAAAGGGTCACCATGCTATCTCCTTTCCTTGAATTTGTATTTGGTTTCTATTTTTAAGCTCTCCAGTGTCATAATAAATCTTTATACCAAACAATATTTTCATAATCCAATACATTTGGATGTGTAACTGCTTCCAATGTAGATAGCCACAATGGAACCTTTGGGTAGTGGTTTTTTTAATCTTTCCCCAGACATTAAACAACACATTTCTTACATGGTGCCTTTGGAAATATGAACATTGTTTAGATTTTCCACCCCACATGAAGGCGTGTCAGCCAAGTTGGAGATCAAAACCCTCTAATACTAATAACCTTCTATTTTCTAATTTAACCCAATCCTTAAGCCAGTTTACTATAGCAGCATCATAATCTAATTCAAAATCTGGAAGGCCAAATCCTCCTTTTTTCTTGGCATCCTGTAATAATTTATATTTCACTCTGGGTTTTTTCCTCTGCCATATAAATTTAGATATACATTTGTTTAATTCTACAAAAAAAATATTTTCCAACTTGACTGGCATTGTCTGAAACAAGAACAACAATTTTGGCAAAATATTCATTTTTACTATCGAAATACGTCCCAATAGCGATAACTGCAATTTGACCCAATTATCTAAATCTTTAACTATTTGTGCTATTAACTTATCATAGTTATCTTTTTTAATGAATGAACTTCTAGCAGTCAACCAGATCCCTAAGTATTTTACTTTATTTACCACCTGCATACCTAATTTATTTATTTATAAAATTTATTTCCTTCTGCTCCTTTGTACAGTTTTTTGTTAACACGTTTGTTTTTTCTTTGTTAATTTTTAACCCTGCCACTTTTCCGTATTCTTCTATTTCTCTTAGTAGTATAGGGCTTGCTTCTAAGGGTTCTTCTGATATAAATACCATATCATCAGCGAATGCCTAGAGTTTATATTCCTCTTTTTTAATTTTTAGTCGTCTAATCTCTTGGTTTTGCCTAATTTGTACTAAAAGAGTCTCTTCTGCCAATATATACAATGGAGGAGCTCGGGGCAACCTTGTCTTACTCCCTTATTTATCTTTATGGTATCTGTATTTTCTCCATTTATTAATATTTTTGCAGTTTGCATGTTATAAATTGTCTTAATGAATCCTATAAAATTTTCACCAAATTTCATGCCTATCGGTTGTTGAATAAGAAAGTTCCAATTCAGGTTTTCAAATGCCTCTGGGCATCTAAAAATATCAATGCCATTGTCTTGGTTGTATATACTTCATAATATTCCCAATATATCCATAATGGTTCTTGTATTTGTTTTTATTTGCCTATTGGGGAGGAAGCCATTCTGATCAGTGTGGATAATTCTACTTAATACTCTCTTTAATCTTTCCGCCAATTCTTTTCTCAAACCCTTCATTGTCTGTTTCATAAAATTTCATTTTGGTTCATTGGTTTAGCCTCAAGTATTCTTCGCTGAACCTGTTTCACTTAGTCCAAATCCTCCTTAAAACATGGCAACTAGAACAGACCACAATACAAGAGGAGCTCTATGCAATACGGGAAAAACCAAAGAATTGGTTCCTCCTATTTGGAAACTATATTCTGTTGATGGAGCCCAACATCTGCTTTTCTTGCAGACTTATCCTACTGTGGAGTCCTGTTCAGTTTGAAGTCTCAATACATTTGTTTCTGCATGATCCAAATGTTTGATCTTTCACATATAGCATGATGGTCCAGAATAGATTCTGACTGTAGTTCTCTATGCAAAGGGCAAAAAGAGTGTCACAGCACAAGCTCCTCCCCTTTTCTATATATGCCATGATATTGTAAGCTTGTCTGAAAGGTGCCAAACTTTCAACATGATGGCATAGTGCTGCTTTTATCACTCTGATGAAAGCAGCAAGTTCCTGTGGGTGCCACTTCATATATAAACTTAGGAAATAGTGAGAGCAATTGAACACCGTGGAATCTATTTCTGATGAGACATTCTAAGACCGTAACACAATAATGAAAAATAATATCATTGCCTTTAAACTCCACAGAAAAAGCCCAGGCAGCAGTTCATATTCAGGGATTGTTGAAAACAGTAATGTATCAGTAACTGAACAAATACAGAAGGCAGAGAATCAGAATAAATGTCAGGTTTGTTTAATGGGGACATGAATAATCATCAATCAATCCAAATTGTGAGTGTTGTTTTCTGGATTATTTCTATATTCTTGGGAGGCAGAAGTAAATTGTCAATGAATTGATGATAATATCTATTTAGGGGAAAGAACAACAGTTTTAAAAAAAAAATTTAATCTCTCCATTATAGTATTAACTTGGTAAATGATAGTCGGGAAGAGTCAACCATGGTATAATGTTAGATTAAGACTGGGGAAGCCCAAAGTCATGTCTATCTTTAGTCACAGAAGCTCCTGGGTGACTTTGGGACACTCAATCTCTCAGCCCAGCTTCCATCACAGGTTGTTGTTCGTAGAAAAATAGAAGTAGAGTATACCACCTTAAAATCTTAGAGGAAAAGTAGGATATAAATCTAATGCATGAAAGTAAATAAAATGTAATCATGTGTTAAATGATGCACTTTGAATCATCAAATACTTCTAATTTTACATTAGTGCTGATGGTATCTGAGCTATCAGGGGTTCTTGAGAGAATATCTTAATGTACGTTATTGTTTTAAAATGAAGATAAGTTCAGCATTGGAGATCCTTAATAAAGATATAAAAAATAAAGTAGTATTTTAATATCTTTATGGTGCAATTACACATGTGTAGTCCTGGCCACAATATTCCCAAAGTTGCCTTACTGATGAAAGAAGTACATAAAAAGGCAATCAGCTTTATTAAAGAGTGGAATAACTTTCTTTGAAGGAAAGATCACAGTATTTGGAAATGTTAGTTAAAAACATTGGGAGATGAATAAAATTATACACATTATGTAGAAAGAAGATAGAAAGAAAAACAATCTTCTCTTTTCTCCCTGTATATTCCATAAAATTCAGTAGTTTAAAAAGTATTTCAATTTACTGTGCCCAATTAATCTGTACAATTCACTGTCTCAAAATACAGTGATTGTCACCAGCTACACTTGTCTCTTATTGAAAAATTAAAAATGCCTCTCTCCTATAAGCACACACTCTTTTTCTTCCAGGCTTTGCTCTTCCCTCTGGAAGGGGAGAAATGCCAGGATCTAGGAGGCTGGCATTTGGATTCCTGGGGAATTTTTTATTTTTTGCTAAAGTAACAGACTCTTGAAGACCTACCTGCTAAAGCAGTTCTCCAGATCACCGTAGTGTGATTAAGGGGAAAGATTTTGAGTCTCTTTCTCACACTTTCCCATTCCCCTGGGTTGACATTTCTCTTTTATGATGGTTCTGTTCTCTCTCCATATTCCAAGATCCTGCTAGAAGTTCTACAATAGGAACTGAGATGAAAGAAACAGAGAAGAGAGAACGATGGAGTTCCTCTAATCTGTAAACATAAAGCATCCTATTTAAGGACCCTTCTTCTTGGCAATATCACTGGCCATCAGTTGTACTGTCCTTTCTCATAACTACAGTATTTGAAAAAGAATGGATAACAGTTCAGCTTTAGTTAGACATAAAGCTAAACATAGAGCCTACATTAAATTATACATCACTTCTATGGAATACAGAATGGGAGTTTAATTATTTAGAGAAAGTATCCTTTATTTCAAGGTAGTTCCAAAGGTTACCAGTAGATGATCCCATGTATTTCCAATTAGGGCTGTAGGAAGGTCACCTAATGTGGTTCAGAGTTCTGTTCTGTAAACAGCCTTATCCAGTCCAGATCACCCGTGAAGTAAGGACATAAGAGAGTAGATTGGCACTGAGCCAACCTGGTGGCTATGTTGAATGCTGTTTCCAGATGTGATTACTCTACCTAGCTGTGAATTGTCTTCTTTTGTTTTAAATTGTTGTACTGTTTGGCTATTTAACATTGTTTTAACTGTTTGTAAGCCACCCAGAGTCATATATATGGATTTTAGTTTGCATTATCTTTTAGTATGGTTATTCTTTTTAATAAAAAAATGTTTAAAAAAATATTCAACCCTATCAAGGGTGGTATAACTACTTCAATAACTACTCCTATTTTAAGGAAAGCCTTAAATCTTGACAATGGGCAAATATTATTTTGACTTTGATATTATTCCAACTAAATAAACTTGCAGTGCAATTTGGTTTGGTTTATTTTTTCATTTATGAAGACAATGCTTCTTTTCTAATTCCAGACATTTTAAAATTCCATAATATAATAGCATGACATCACATTACCATTTAATAGTTGCTATACTAAAATTGTTCCTCAAAATTAATGCTTTGTATTATAATAATTTTAGCTTGTTTGTCCCATGTAATTAATAACCAATGTATTATGTTTTGTTTTTCAGGTCCTCCAGTAAGTAAAATTGACATTACTCTTGGTCACGAGTCAACAAAGTTAAGGCATTTATTTTCCTTTCTGTCTCATTTCACAAGAACAGGGCTTTCAGAAGAGGTGTGTCTGGTCCAGAAATTGGTACCAGATGCTGTTTTCTCTTTCACTCTTTCTCTTTTTCTCTCTTTCTCTTTCTCTCTCTCCCTCTGATGTAGGGAAATAGCAAAAGAGGAAAAAGTAGTTATTTATTTCTTTGCCTAAAGGGTTTTGTGCCATTTTGAACTTAGTAAAAGCCTTTTTTTCTTTTAAGAATAGCTTTTTTGTTGTTCATCTCAACTTTTTTTAAAAAAATATACTTGTTCTGCTGTTATTTTCATAAATGTTAAATTGCCTTGCTGCATTTCAGTCTCTGAAGCTTTAAGAAATAATTACTAGAAATGCAGATTACATACATTCTATGACTGTCCAGAGGAATGAACAACTATTGTCACTTCGAATGCATCTTATAAATACAGTTCCAGCAGATAATTATATAATCCTCACTCCACTTTGCCTCATACATCTGTTATTTCTTTTTAAATTTGCTACTTCTTTGCATGAACAAAAGAAAGAAATATGGAGGGAAATTGAAAATCACCATAATAATATACTAGATTACTGTGTCTTGATTCACATAGCAATGTCTTTGGATGCTGAACAAGAAAAAGGGAAGATTCCCAATGTCACGGAAGATGGCAATCTGTGTCTCATCAGACAGCCTGCAAACAATTCTTCATTGTCAGCGACAGGCCTATATAGGAGTAGCTTAAATATTCATCTGTCTCCCATGGAAAGAAATCCATTGTACCTTATTCTACTTCAGTAGCAAGTTTAGTATTTCATTTTTTACCTTGTAACTTTATCCAAAGGTAAAAGGAAATATATTTGATTAACCGATTGATTTGATTTAAACTGACTTTTAATCCAGAAACTCATATTTTGAGTATCTAATCACCAGAGTCCAATTTCACTAGTAGGATCTCATATCCAATTAACTTGGAAAAAAAACACCAGATTACTAGAGCTATTCCACCACTCCTTTGCCCTAGAATCATGGGAGGTGCCACATTCAAACTCCAGATGTTATCAGTTGACAATGCAACTTTTCCTGGTGACTGTTAGACATTAGATCCAGTGCTTTTTTTATTTTAATTTTAATCTATTGCTAAATCGTTGTCTTGGCGTGGTGAAATGACACTGCAGCTACAAATTCTGAGTACAATAATATGAACAAAGCTCTCTGTTCCTGGTCCTCTTCTAGATCAATTAAGAACTATCCTGGAAATTTAAGGCAAAACAAGACTGCCTCTGAAAAAAACAAAAAAGTAAAATGGTTCTCAAAAATTTAGATCAAACCTTTCCTAGCGGTTATAGTTCTGATAGGTTGGTGGCAACTAAAGCATAACTGAACTGCACTTTTTTGCTTTAAGTGTTGATAAGTACAGTGGAATATTGTTTTTCTGCCAGTTGTGTGATGAACGGTAGAAGGCATATGTTCTACATAAGTATCCTCAGATACCTTTGTAGAACATGCCTTCCTAAAGTCAGTTCTTGAACTATTTAAACAACTTGCCACCTATTTTATCTTCCTCACTTATCAAACATCATATCCTTCGTCTTTTCAAATTGCAGAAAGATGCTCAGGTTGCAATACAAAAGGGAATGAGAATCTGAAGAACTTGCTTCAATCCTATTGGTATAATAAGACAAGACCACTTTATCATCCAAGTGTGTTACCCAATCTAGGCAGGTAACAGTAGACACAGATAGTCCTTGACTTATGATCACGATTCAGTCCAAAATTTCCACTGCTAAGTGAGATGGTTGTTAAGTGAGTTTTGACCCATTTTATGACCTTTCTTACCACAATTGTTAAGTGAATCTCTGCGGTTGTTAAGTTAGTACATGGTTGTTAAGTGAATCTGGCTTCCCCATTGACTTTGCTTGTCGGAAGGTCACAAAAGATTATCATAGGACCCTAGGACACTGCAATCTTTATAAATATGACTGGTTGTAAGTGTGAAAAATAGTCATCAGTCACTTTTTTCACTGCTGTTGAAACTTCAAATGATCACTAAGCAAACTATTATAATTGAGGACTACCTGTACTGCCACCAAGTTAAAGCAGAGGCTGTTGGCATATGCCAGCCATCTTACCCATAAGTAGGCTTTTCCCAGAACTTACAAATAAATATGAAATAAGTGGCTTTCAAATTTCCTCTGGGGCTAATAATAAAAGGAAAATTTAACAGCAGCAAAGACAGAAAAGTGTGCTACCCTGGACTTTGAAAAATGTTTTTCTATTAAATTGTACAGATTCAAATATGAAATGTATTAGAAATTTAATTACAACACATGATGCTTTAAAATTCAATTTTAAAATTTAAATGAGACATACAATTTTAAATGATGTAGAAACTTGAAAAACTTGTAAAATGATGTAGACATTGTACAAAATGTGACATTTTAATGTCCTTCTCAGGCCCTTTTGGACCAATAGAGATTTTGTATTTAAGGAATATTTTGTAATACAGCAGTCAACTAATTCTGAATGGTATAATTTTAAGTTGTTTTATAATTTGCCCCATTAACTGATTGGTATAATAAAACCAAAATATAAATAAACAAATAAAATTTAAAATATCCTTACTGAATTCAGTTTAAAAAGTAGAAATAATAGCTTTGGATTAAAATACTATTTTCCCCCCACATGGAGCTGCATATTAAAATTCTTATGTTAAGATTCTTATAGATTGCAATCATATTCTCAGCTGTGAGGCAATTATATTTTTTCAGTTATTTCAGTTTTTACTTTCTATATTTGACTATTTACAGGTGAAACTCAAAAAGTAGAATATCGTGCAAAAGTTCATTTATTTCAGTAATGCAACTTAAAAGGTGAACCTAAGATAGTTCAAGCCATGATTTGTCATAATTGATTATGGCTTACAGCTCATGAAAACTCCAAATCCACAATCTCAGAAAATTAGAATATTACATGTAATCAATAAAACAAGGATTGTACATAGAACAATATCGGACCTCTGAAAAGTATAAGCATGCCTATATACTCAGTACTTGGTTTGGGCCCCTTTTGCAGCAATTACTGCCTCAATGCGGCGTGGCATGGAAGCTATCAGCCTGTGGCACTGCTGAGGTGTTATGGAAGACCAGGATGCTTCAATAGCGGCCTTCAGCTCTTCTGCATTGTTCGTTCTCATGTCTCTCATCTTTCTCTTGGCAATGCCCCATAGATTCTCTGTGGGGTTCAGGTCAGGTGAGTTTGCTGGCCAATCAAGCACAGTAATCCCATGCTCATTGAGCCAGGTTTTGGTGCTTTTGGCAGTGTGGGCAGGTGCCAAGTCCTGCTGGAAAAAGTAGCCAGCATCCCCATAAAGCTCATCTGCGGAAGGAAGCATGAAGTGCTCCAAAATCTTCTGGTAGACGGCTGCATTGACCCTAGATTTAATGAAGCACAGTGGACCAACACCAGCAGATGACATGGCTCCCCAAATCAACACAGATTGTGGAAACTTCACACTGGACTTCAAGCATCTTGCAGTGTGTGCCTTTCCATTCTTCCTCCAGACTCTGGGTCCTTGGTTTCCAAATGAGATGCAAAAGTTGCTCTCATCATTAAGGAGGACTTTGGACCACTGAGCAACAGACCAGTTCTGTTTTTCTTTAGCCCAGGTAAGATGCTTCTGATGTTGTTTGTTGTTCAGGAGTGGCTTGACAAGAGGAATATGACATTTGAAGCCCATGTCCAGAATCCGTCCGTGTGTGGTGGCACTTGATGCACTGACTCCTGCCATAGTCCACTCCTTGTGAAAGTCCCCAACACTTTTGAATGGCCTTTTCCTGACAATCCTCTCCAGGCTGTGGTCATCCCTGCTGCTTGTGCACCTTTTTCTTCCACACTTTTCCCTTCCACATAACTTTCTATTAATGTGCTTTGATACAGCACTTTGGGAACATCCAACTTCTTTTGCAATTACCTTTTGAGGCTTACCCTCCTTATGGAGGGTGTCAATGATGGTTTTCTGCACAACTGTCAGGTCAGCGGTCTTTCCCATGATTGTGATTCCTACAGAACCAGACTGAGAGACCATTTAAAGGCTCAGGAACCTTTTGCAGGTGTTATGGCTTAATTAGCTGATTAGAGTGGGACACTTTGAGCCTAGAATATTGAACCTTTGCCCAATATTCTAATTTTCTGAGATTGTGGATTTGGGGTTTTCATGAGCTGTAAGCCATAATCATCTCAATTATGACAAATCACGGCTTGAACTATCTTGCTTTGCATGTAATGAGTCCATCTCATATATTAGTTTCACCTTTTAAGTTGCATTACTGAAATAAATGAACTTTTGCACGATATTCTAATTTTTCGAGTTTCACCTGTAGGTAAGATTTATTTTTCTATTTTTGTCCCATGAAGTAGCTGTACAATATTAGAATTGTAAAGGAGCTTTTTCCTCCCAGAAAAGGTCTATAAAATTAACTTATTTTCCCTTATAAAACACATTTTCTTTCCAAGGGTTATAGATATGGCCTGAGAAAGTTCCTTTAAACTCTCTAGTGGTTCTCTCACTGGGCAGACAAAGAAGGGTTATTCCAGTGGTGGGATTCTATCAGTTTCCCTACTGGTTCGGGGATCACGCACTTCATGCATGCGCACGAGAGCATGCTTAACACGCATGCATGCACAGCTTTCCAAACACCAGCTGAGGGTCTGCCATGACAATCAGCTGAGATGATAAAGAACAGAAAAGCGCAGGGCTGGGTGGGAGGGCCGATCCTCTTCTTTCTGCTCTCAGCTGATCGTCGGAGGCTTTTTTTATTACTGGTTCGGCCAAAGAGTAGCAATTTTTGCTACCAGTTCAGCCAAACCAGGTCAAACTGGTAGCATTTCACCCCTGGGTTATTCCCTCTGAGAAGGGTGTTCACCTCTTAATTGAGAATACCCAGATAAGTAAAACACCTTGACTATTCACTTAAATTGGTTTATTGAGACAATGTGGTTGCTTCTTCCTTGTTCTGTTTGATTTAGACTTGTTTGCAGCAACACGTAGGGATTGATGCATACCTATGCTGCATACCTATGGGTAAGCATAGGTCATAGATGGTTGCAGACTAGCAACAGATATGTACCCCTCTCCAAACCACAGATGCATGTGTTGCAGTGACACAAAAATCTAGTTCTTGCCCAGGGGTGGGATCCAACAGAGTTAACTACCGGTTCGATGATTTATGATGTGCTTCCCTGCACACTGCGCGCACATGTAAATCTTCATCAGCTTGCTGCCTGGACAGCTGAGCAGCGCTGCATGCAGAGAAGCAGTCTTTGAAAAAGCACTTTTTTCCTGCTTTTTCAACCACAGCTGTGCCTCACACGGCAGCTGAGCTTGAGAAAGCAGGAAATGAAGGTTAGGTAATAGCCCGGGCGGGCGGGTGGGCCAAAACAGCAGCAGACATAGAACCAGTTCTATGTCTGCTGCTCTTCAGAGCTACCAGTTCTACAGAGCTGGACAGAACCGGTAGAATCCCACCGCTGTTCTTGCCTTAGGAAGACCAACAACAGTGGTTCATAAACCAATTTAACTGAATTGTCAAGGTTCAAATTACATGGTTGTTCAGTCTCATATTTTTATCCAAGATCTTTTTAAATCTTGGTGTTCATTTGTTGTAAATCCATTTGTTGTTTCAAATTGGCCACCTATAATGAATGGAAAGAAAAAGGGAAGGAAGGGTATTTAGTTCTACTGGCTCACAGATGCTTCTGCCAACCAGACAACAAACTAGAGCAAAGCTCAGTAAAATAAATGAGTACTCTACTGTAGTTGAACAACTTGACTATGGAGCAAAGCCATTTATACTGAAATATAATCCTGCTTGTTTCCATATTAAAATTGATCATATCCAATAAGAGTGAGTTTCATGAAATGGGGCTGTGAGTAGAGTTATGGGGAAAATAAAGGTTCCATTAGCTAAAATGTTTGAAGATTAGATTTCTGTTTAAAGTTTTTAAATATATCCATTTTCCTTTTAGTAGGAAAAATATTTACTTTGAAAAGTCATGTATAGAGATGAGTGAAGTTTGCTGAGGCATAATACTTAAATGGTGGTCTTGTACAGATATCTGTTTCTCTATTTCAACTATATCATAGGATTGTTACAAGAATTTTAAAAGGCAGATACCCCTGTCATAAATTCCTATTTTCTGTTATTCTGATATAGATTTTCTAGTGGTAGAACCTACTAGATTAATTTGTCTTCTAGATCAACTCCTAAATTTTGATATTAACTGTGAACTCTTGCTGCTGTTAAGTGCCACTGACTGTTCTTATTGTTTTCCTTATTTAATATCACAGGGGCAGTCAGGACGAGATGGTTACCCGGTAATTTTATTTTGCAATTTTTCCTGCATATTGTTTATTCCTGCTTAATCCATTTTCACTCTCTATATTTTATTTGCCCCTTCAAAAGTATCAAACTAATATAACTTCATCCACTTGAACATCTGTTTACTATCTTTAGATTTGCTGACTTTAGTAACATCAGTTCAAGATATTTAATTATTAATCAAAGCACTGTAGCTGCACCAGTGGTGGGATTCAAAAAATTTTTACTACCGGTTCTGTGGGTGTGGCTTGCTGGGTGTGGCAGGAAAGGACACTGTAAAATCTTCAGTTAGAGATGGTATTTGCTGATTTTCCAAACCAGTCAAAATTTGTGCTACTGGTTCTCCAGAACTGGTCAGAACCTGCTGAATACCACCTCTGAGCTGCACTACACTTTATAAAGTTCCCATATGCATAGTATTACTAGTAATGTTGGTCTAATAAATACATGCTAGTGTTAGCATCTGAAAACTATCTTTACAGTAGAATATTAATCCTATTGACTGATTACTATACAAGAAGTATTCCTTAAAGTCTCCCTATTGCTCAACCATTATTACTGACATTGCCGCTTTCTAGCATATTCCATAATTTATATCCTGAAATATGTTATTTGTTCCTCAGGTAGCACATATGTCGCTAATGTATTCAATTTATGGAATGTATTGAACATTCGTTATGAACACTTATTTGATATTGGTATTGCATAAATGAAGAATATGAACCTCCACCAGCTATATCATGTTGTGAGCTTTTTAATTTTTTTTTACTGGATGGTTTTTCAAATTTATTAGCTTTAAGTTCAAATTATATATACTTAGGAATAAAACCCATGCATTCCAAAGAACTTAGTTCTGAGTAGATCTAGTTAAATCCTTATAAGTAGCAACATAACACTTCAAAGAGAAAGGGTTTCTATATTAACAAAGTTCCTTTCCTTCATGGCATTATATTTCTTCATGCATACAGTCATTATTTTGTTGTTGTTTTAAAGGATGAACAATGGCTTACTTCTCCCTTTCCCCCCATGCTGTAGCATAGGATTATGAGTGTGAAGAAATCATAAGATTAAACAAACATCTGATAATACCGTGTTTCTCCAACAATACGGCCTCCACCAATAGGAAGCCCCACCATGTTTTATTGGCATAAAATCAAATTAAGCC